AAAGATGCCTCATCAAGATGCATGAAAATTCTCATAAAGATTCACTTGCTCTCAATTTTTCAGGTCGCATCTCTTCAAAGGCCATCTGTCTGCAGGACCAGCGCACCCAGGTCAACTCCAGCATGTGTAATCCCCACACCAGACCCACACTGGGCTCCCATCTCTGCAACACGCAGCCCTGCCCGGCCTAGTAAGTACTCAGACTGCGTGTGGGTCACAGCTTGTCTTTCTGTGTCCTTGCTTGTGGGAGATGTGGCACCGCGTCTAATGTTGCCAACATTTTTTTGGGCAGTTTTATTATAGGTGCACACACAGACGCACATGTGCACCCTGGTTGTACTGCTCGCTGTGGTCTGCCGCCACTCTGCTCACTCTGTCTTCATCTCCCTCCTCAGCCCGCTCTGTAATTTATCCTTTTTCTCCCGTTTTTTCCTCCTTAAATAGGAAAAATTCAGCAACACAAAGAAGCACTCAGAAACTCTCTGCCATTTCATCTTTTACGTCGTGTTAATGTCATTGACAACGGTTGCTGTTTGATGAGTTGTCCTTTTATTTATTCTGTCTATGAAGAATAAAAATTTCAGCCCAATTTAAAAAGAGGAAATTCCTTTAAATACACCCCTGAAAACTCTCTGGGATCAATATCACCCAATATTAATAGATATTCGTGCAAATTCTGAAACTGTTTATTAAGAATACTTAACTTAAAAAAATACTTTAATAATGTAATACTTAAAAAAGAGCACCAACATTAAAAAAAGTCATAGTCTCAATGAATATTTGAATAACCTGTACTGGTATTACAGAAATCTGAGCAGATTTGGTACTTTTGGGAGATCCTAAGAGTTTTGGATGGAAGGCCTCCATGCCATCACCCTAATCTGTTGCTCCATCCAAGGATTCTCTGTCAGATTTATTTAATAATGATATTTCTGACTGGAAATTACCTTCTGATTCCAGAAAGCGAGAATTATAACGAACCAAAAGGAAGAAATACTCTGAACCTTGTTAGTCTGCATGGCCGCTGCAGCAGCTGATGTCTCCTGTTATGCATTTTTCAGCACAAAGATCTTTGATTTTTCAGCCTAAGACTAACATGTATCTAGTCTAGACAGTGCACTTTATGGTATGCATTTTTCAAAGTGTGTCCATTTAGGAGCCAATGCAGCATGCAAAGGAGCAAACCAAGCGGAATTGCGTTAAAGTAAAGAGTTGCAGGAGCTTTGAATAAATGGGTTCTCCTACAGCATGCAGGCCTCTGTCTGAGGGAACTGGAACTAGCTTGATTTACTACACAGCAGGGATACGCAGCACAGGGTCACAGAAAGTACACACATGGGCACCAGCATGATTCTACTCTGCAAATTAAAGTTCATGTTAACATTTCTCTAAATGTTTTAGTTTTATTTCATAGCTGTCCGGTTTCACCAAAGGTAAGAACATTAATGTATGGGAGAATTATCCTGCCATAATGCAAGAGCACATAAAAACGCAAAACTTATAATGCTCACACTCCAAACATGCGCTCTCTCTCAGATATTTTCTCTTCTCTCTCAAATCTTTGTTTCTTCTCTCAGATTTAATGCTTCTTGCACAGATATTTTCTCCTCTCGCTTGCCTCCTTCTCTTCGTGCACAAACCGCGTTCTGCTCGAGTCTCAGATACGCCCGCAAACCGTCGGCTCTGCTTGCGGATTTTTTCTGCTCTCTCTCGGAATGGATCGGATCATCGCCTAGCAACCTTTCCAGCCAATAGAACGACTGTGATAA